ACTGGGCACCTCATCAAAAATTCTTCCTGGGACACTAGGTTTGCCATAGTCTTCACCTATGTCTTGGGAAGGGGTGCATTCACTTCTACCTCCCCTGCTCTTGTTAAAATGCCATTTGGTCAGTTTGCTCTAGAACCTCATTTGGATAGATCAGGTTCTTCCCTCGGCAATTACAGTAGCCAATTTCCTAAACCCTATTTCTCCCCTTTCGATGGCAAGAATCCCAAGCTCTAGATACGAAGATTATTTTGAAATGTATCACGTAGAACATCCAATTTGGATTTGTGTTGTGTCTGCACACTTCCAAGGACCAGCTGCACGTTCGTGGTAGTTGGTTGAATTCAATCTAAAAACTTCCAGCTGGTCTCAATTTGGTAGTGTGGTGCTTGAGCGCTTAGGTTGTGATCGCCCAGAGCTTTTGATCTGATAATCTTGTCACATTTAAACAATCTGGATCCATGTCTGATTATGCTAAGAAATTCACTAAGTTGGTTGATTAGTTGGTTGCTTATGGTCACAAATCTGATCCCTTGTTTTACACCATGCGCTTTATTGATGGCTTAAGCGATGATATTTGCCTTATTGTTCTTGTTCAACTATTGTCTTCCTTGGATATTGCTTGCACTTGGGCCTTGTTGTAGGAGGAGGCAGTTGTGCCCATGCAGCGGTTGTGAATCTGTAGGCCCGATATCATGTTTTACCATAAGCAGATGTCTTGGGGGCCATTTCCACTTCCCTCGCCACCACGTCAAGATACAATGCCAATGTCATCCACTAAAGGTGCTGATGTTCGTGATGGCACTTCATCTAAGACATCTGCGGCTAAGAAATACTCTCCTCTTTGTTCATACTGTGGTGCTAGAGGGCTATGTAACTGTTGCTGAGAAATGGTCACATGGGCACAAATGTTCCACCACTATGCAGTTGCATACCATGGAAGAGTTGTTGGATCTATTTAGTTTGCTGCCTGTAGATTCTGCCATAGAGCACTCAGATGTTCCTACCATTCATAGGGTTTTTGATGCCCAATTCTTCTTGGCTATTTCAAATGGCTCCTTTGCTGCCATTAATGGGTTTCTACCAATGGCCAATGAGCATCTCTTGGTTCAGGTTTGTAGCCTCTCAGCGAACACTGTTCTAGAAGCACCTGCCCCGGCCTTGCCTCTAGAAATTTAAGCTATACTTCTAGAGTTTGCTTCTGTATTGGCACCGGTTAGTGGATTGCCACCCATGCATCATTATGATCATGCTATCCCACTGATTCCTAGTCCTCAACCTATCGACATAAGACCATATCGGTAAACTCCGGATCTCAAAGATGAAATCAAAATTCAAGTTCATGGCATGCTCACCAAGAAGCTTATCCAGTCCACCACCAGCCCATTAAGGATGGTTTGTGGCGACCGTGTGTCGATTATAGACACCTAAATGCCATCATTGTCCGCTACAAGTTCCATCTACCAATTTTGGATGAGCTAATGGATATGAAGTGTCATGAGCTAGTTGCTTTTCCTCCTTGGACCTCAACTCCTGATTCCATCAAATCCGCCTCAAGACTGGTGAAGAATTAAAAACTACTTTTTAAACACACTTTGGTCACTTCAAGTTCAAGGTCATGCCATTTGACTTGTGTGGCGCTCTAGGGACATTTTAGGGTGCTATGAACTCTACATTACTACCATTTCTTCACAAAGTGTGTTCTTGTTATTTCGGACGACATATTGTTTTATAGCCGCACCTATGATGACCTTGTTGGCCACTTGCACATCAAGTTTTTTAGTTGGCTCGGGATCGATGGCATGTCGGTAGTATGCTATTGCTCCTCCTTCAAGACAACACCAATTGTCCTACTTGGGACACATCATTAGTGAGGTAGGAGTTTCTATTGACCCTAATAAGATCCAGGCCATTACTTTTTGGCCCCAACCAACAAATTTCAAGGGCCTCCGTGGCTTCCTCAGACTTGCTAGCTATTACAGGAGATTCATCCACCAATTTGCAGTGTTAGCTAAATCGTTGATAGAGCTTCTTAATTAAGAATCGCACTCTGTTTATTTGGACCAGAGTCAATCAAGTGGGTTTGTGACTCTCTGAAGACAAATTTCGATTCACGCCATAGTTTTGGCCATGTCCGACTTCACTAAGACTTTCTGTGTTGAAACTAATGCTTGTGATCATGGAATCTCACGCGTCCTATACTGGCAGGGTCACCCCGGCATACATCATCAAGCAATTGGGTCCTAAGATGGCGAGATCTCTCCACTTATAGAAACAAGTATTTGACCACAACCACTCTTTTCGGTTATCCCCGTGTGATCCTCGACACTCGAGCAATCTTGTCCAAGCTTGCTATGTCCCATTTAGTGACCAACTTCTCCTGTCGGATGGCATCCTATGCTATAAGTCTTAGAATCTGGTTGGGAAACAACACTTCACTTGAAAAGATCCATCTTGGCAGCATTGCATGATGCACCCTGTTGGTGGTCATTCTGGATTCCTATTCACCTATTGTCATGTCAAGCAACTCTTTGCCTAGAAAGTCTTGAAAACGTCAAGCCAACAAACACCAAACTAAATGTGTGTTCGATGTGGGGATTTTGTGTTCCTCAAGATACAACCTATGTGCATTTCTCTGTGGCTCCTAGTGCCAATCACAAGCTATCTTTCAAGTTCTTTGGACCTTTCTAGGTGCGCAAGAAAATGGGTCCAATGGCTTACAAGATTGATCTCTCGGCTTCATCAAGCTGTCCCCCGGTGTTTCATGTCTCCTAGTTGAAACATGTTGCTCCGTCATCAGCCAAGGTGTCACCCTCTCCTCCTAATCCTAACAATTTAGTTTCCTAAATAAGTGCTAGCCCAGCGCGTCATTCACGGCCTAGGCGATAATTGTGTCGGGGTGTGCGGGGAATTGAGACCTCATGGTGCGCCATAAAAAAGCAAAGATTTGCCATATATAATAGGTTTTGTAGCTAAGTAGAAGCTTAATACTTAGTTATTTACTTGCCGCTTACCCCATTGTATCCAGCTAGATGTAACCTGTTGTCGTAACATTTGTATGTCATCTACAACTTGGTACTATTGTCTCATTGATTGTGTTATCTAAATTTCTATCTAGAAAAAAATATATGTACCGTGCAATGTGATGGATGTGACTTGGTAAGTGATGTAGCTTATTGATCCTTTTTGTTTTGCAAAAATGCTTCTTTTTAATTCAGTAGGCATATATCATGCATGCTAGCTATTAACTAATCGCATCTTAGCATTATGGATGCACAGAACATAAACTTACTATTTTTATACAGATTTACCCAAACGCAGTGCTTTGATATTTTGTTTACACGTCATTGTGCGCTACCATGCAACTTAAGCCCGCTAGACGAGGAAGAAAGACGGCGGCAAGGACGGAGATGGAGACCTAGTGGCGTTAGGGTTCCAGCATCTCCTGCTCCGTGCTCTCCTTTCTTCTTCTCCATCTCCGGCGAGCATATAAGGTGGTTTGGGGAGGAAGGCCGCTCTAGGAGGTGGGGACAACGGCGAGGCGGTTTAGGGGACCAGCTACGGTGGAAGCGGCCGAGCCAAGTCGGGGGCGGGGGAGCTCCACGGCCGGAGCTCGCCATGAGGAGGGGGGGGAAGAAAACCAGCCGCAGCGCGCTTAGGTTTCATGCCGAGCTCATGGACTCCCGACGAAACCCTAGCGCGCCACGGCGGGGCGGTGGCAGCGGCGGAAGCAAGGACGAGGAGGAGGGCGTGGTTGTCGGCGAGGCAAGCGGGAGTGGGGGTGCGAGGACAAGAACGATAAGGAGGCGCGAGGGCGAGGAGGCGGCAGGGGCGAGGACGAGGAGGGGGCGTGAGGAGGAAGGACACCCTTTTTTATAACTTTTCTTAATTTTTTTTGGAAGTTTTGTGACATTCCGAGACAGTGGTTGGGGGATGAGAATTTCTACCCAAGGAAATAAAATGCCTCTAAAATCCCTCCAGGGCTTCCCTTTCCACTAGGTTTATTACCCACCACCACCACCATCCAAACTAGCCATTTTGCTTTCACATTCTCCTCACCTATCGTCCCCTTAGTTTTAATGGACATAAAGATACCCTAGCCCTTCCGCTAGATCTTCCATTTGCATGTTCTACATGAGTATATTCTAGATACGTGTTTTACATAGATAATAATGCAAATTGTAGCACTGGTAAAGAGGAATTGAGGATCGATTTTGGCCAACAAATAAACCTAAAATGTACACTGAGAGGCCTCTCAATTTAGGCTTAAATTGAAACCCCATTAGAATTGAGAACAAATCATGTTGCTTCATTAGACTAACACACGATCCTGAAACATGTTAATCAGCCGTAAGGACCAAGGATCTCATCAATTAGCCAATGTGTTTCACATCCAGAGGATCAATGTATTGCAGTCTGTCACAGACTGTACATCTTGGCAACAGAGACAGCAACAATTTACAGTTTCAATTGGGACACAAGATGTAAATAGGCGTGAGCACGTGACAGATGCTTAAGTACAGTAACAAGATTTCATTTTGTTGATGCACAGTGCCATCTTATTTGTTAGCCCTTGTTTAGTTCGCGAAATTTAGATTTTGGGGCTACTGTAGCACATTCGTTTTTATTTCGCAAATAGTGTTCAAACATGGACTAATTAGGCTCAAAACGTTCGTCTCGCAATTTCTCACCAAACTGTGCAATTAATTTTTCTTTTCGTCTACATTTAATACTCCATGCACGGGCCGCAAACATTCGATGTGACAGGTACTGTAGCAACTTTTTGGAATTTGGGGTGGAACTAAAAAGGCGTTACCTGAATTGCAGGTTATTCACAGAAAACATCGGGAGCCATGCTTGATCTGTTACAACACAAGCTTTATGCAAATGCGTGCACAAGCTTTATTCACAGAAAACATCTTCACAGCACAGACCAACAAATATTGGCATCCATAATCCTTTTGCCTCATCAAGCTTATCAGTCTGATCTGCATTGAAATGAATCAAGATTCCTGTGGAGCTTCAAACCTTGATGGAGTATCAATTCCCATCATACACATGAGTCCTGATATCAAGATGATAAGAAGCACTATTCCCTGAACATAGTAGACAGGTGTGAGACAATATTCCTCACAAAAAAAAAGGTGTGAGACAATATTGCAAGGATACAAGGTATATTGATTTGTGAAGTATCGTCTCACACATGAGCCTACATTTCATAATAGAGCTAACCACGAATGAAACAGAGTACAGGTAACAACTTACAACAAAAGTTCCCTCCAGAAGAGTTGATTTGACTAGGCACTCTCCATATTGTTCCTCTGCAAGATACCTGCCTAATGGCAGGTTGGAAGGGCTTTCCAGTAAACCAGATGGTTGAGAGGCATAAAGAATGGTATATTTAGCTCCAGACTTCTTCAGCATGGCAATCAGGTTAGAAAGCAACTCTCCTGCAGTGACATTAGTACGAAATTAACTTTCAGCTGTATAGTTGAAAGTGGAAGAACAATGTAAGAAGTCCTATCCTAACCTTCTGTTTTTGCAGGGTGTAAATCCTTGAAACCACCACTGCAGAAGACAATTAGATCGCTCTGTCCACTTGGGTTGTTTCTCATCCGTGGCGTCACTAAGTCCTTGAATCCTTGAATGTAAATGCTGTCAATATACGAAGCAGATATAGCATAGAAGAACGGAAAAATTATATAATAACTTACATGGATAAAATCCATGCCATGATGTTTATTGAGATCTTGACCAGTTACAGTGTACGTGTCTGTGTAGGAGATACGATTTCTTTCAAAGCCATTGTTACAATTCTCAGCAAAGCTGAACAGCAATGAATTTTCCAATTTCTCATCATCTGATGTGGAAACATAGGGGTATGCGATGGAAAACTCTGAGCTTTTGAAGGAGACCTGATGGGCATAACGATTATAAGCAATTAGAAATTCGATGCTTCAGTTAAACAATAACTGAGGGAAATAAGAGTGCCAACGGTTACCTTCAGTGTGTCTGCTAAAGCTGGATCAACTTGTGTATCTTTAGATATGTCTGACGAATGCTAAGGGGGAAAAACAAGTCAATGGTCAGTGAAAACGGAAGCCATGACTGTCCTAGTAATAACCTCACCATATATAGATTAAAGGGTGGAGAATTTGTTAGTTTTATGGCTTCGTGCAATCAACAGACAATATTTATCAGAAATATCGACTTTTGAATTTTTTGAATCTATGCACAGGCACTGCTTGAAGGGCAGGCCTGGTGCAGTGGTGAGAGCTGTCTCACTGAGTCAACAGGTCACGGGTTCGAAGCAGCCTCTCCGTAGATTTTGCGGGGGGAAGGCTTGCCTCGGTTTTTCCCTTCCCCAGACCCCACTCATGTGGGATCCTCCGGCACTGGGTCTGCCCTTATGCACAGGCATTGCTTCAGTTCAAAAAAAAATTATTTAATTCAACTTTACTTGCACAAGGTAGTTTCAAGCCAGTAAAATATAGATAGGTATAAAATAAGTACCTTTGAGCCAAGAAAAACAATTGCAACATCAACATTCTTCTGAGCATCCTCCCCTGAACACTAATAATAAAATCAGGATTCAGGGAACTGATTTAACATGCAACAGCTGATAATTTAGAAGAAGTTGCATGAGAGCTTAAGTTTCACCTGTGGGGATAATTACCAACAAGTTTGACCAGCCACCTTCCGCAAGAATAGATTTAGCTAAACCCTTTAACGACACTGTCTGATAGTGGACCACTTCTTTAGTGTCATCAGAATGGAATCTGGATGATAAAGGTCAATGGAAGGTAAATTCTAGAGTAGTGAGCTAACATGTGCTTGCTATAATAATCATTTGAAGGTACAAGAAATATTTTAGATGAGCTAGCAAGTTTGGTTCAAGTAGAAGCTAAGTGAACTGATGAAACATCAAAGCTGAGCAAGGTAACATTGGATCTAGTAAGCAAGCAACTAACTCAAATCATTGAGAAAGGCTGATTATGGACATCACAGTATAAGAACAGTATTGCACCCATTGTATGCATTAGAAACTAGGCGTGCGTGACATGAACCTAGGCACTGTGTTGACACAAAATTCTCTGATAAAAGAAACCCGGAACTGCTTAGAACTAAACACTGTTTTGTTAAATTGAACTCACAGCTTCAATCCCCATTGCAATTTAGAGGCTAAAGGTGGCCCATATAAAGAAGTAAGAGCCAAAACTAGCACCAGTTCATGCTTCAGTACCAAAATAAGGGCACAAAGTATTTTTAGGCACAAGATATAGCATCCCCAATGTGTACTGTGCAACATAAAAAAAATATAGGCTTGTCGTTCGTCATTCAACTTTTGAGAAAGGACATCGGATCTGTTTTCCCTAGGCATAAAGTCTCAATGTTGAACGCATGCGCTTCAATGGGGTTGTTATTTACATTGCATGGAACTTGTGGAAGGAGAGGAATAGGAGGATCTTCGAAAATGTACACAAGACGGTGCAACAGGTGGCCCTCCATGACCAAAGAGGACATAGTGCAGAGACATAGGGCATTGGCCATGGCTGGGAGGTGAACTAGCAGTGACAGGCGTGTAACTCTTTGGTCCTAGGACCAGTTTGTTTGGCACAGTGGGTGTCATGTGTACATAAACCTCTTTTCCTTACTTAATTGAGCGGCAGCGCTCTTGCCTTTTACTTAAAAAAAAAAAGTCTCAATCTTGATTTTTAAATGATTGTGTAGGATGGACATAATTTTCCAAAACTAAATGTAAAAATCAGATGCAATGTGGTCTTGTGCAAATTAATCTCTGCTAAACAGTTGCTTCCTCCCAATAAGGTGGTCTCTAGCACAGATGCCAGATGGAGAAAACAGCGACTTTAACAAATGAGCTAATTATGCCAGATGGAGAAAACAGCGACTTTAACAAAGGAGCTAGTTATACCGATTCATGATAGTTTATACTTACAAGCAGAGCAGCTGAAACTCTTCAATAGCATTTTATCTAGCTCAATATCTCTAAATCAAGCTAGTGGCGCAAAAGATAAGCGCAACAAATCCACCCGTAGTTCTTGGGAGCCCAGAGGAACGCTGGCGCCACCACCGAGGTGGCCGACGCCACCTGAGCTGCGGGCAGCATCACCGTCAGCACCACCCATGCCGCCACCATCTGATCCAATAGAGTCCATAAACTAGCGGGGGAAAAAATCGAAGTTAGTAGCCGTAATACATGTATACACTGGTTAGATCAGATCCGAATACATAGCCAAATAGCTCAAGTTAGGGGTTCGGGTCCTCAATTTTGCACCGCAGCAACGGAAGAGAAGGGGCGGGCATACCTGATGTGGTGGGTTGTCGTACCGGCAAAGGGCAGCTGGAGGTATGACGGCGGCGGTCGCCGTAGTTGTCCCGCGCTCGCGCGCGCCCGCGAGGTGAACGGGAGGAGAAAAAAAAAACGGCAAAACAGGTGCGAACTGAACGAAAGCAGGAGAGCAGTTCTTCCGGGCTGTTTGCGCGCTAGTACTGGGCCGATTTCAATTTTTTCCTTTTCTGCAGGTGATTATATTTATATTTTATTTTATATTTTTCAGATCCACTAGCGAATATTTTTCCCTTTTCTATCACTAGCTTAGGGTAACTTTCCTTATTGGTCTTAGAAATCAATGTTTTGGTTCGTTTGCTAAAATTTTTATTTCACATAAATCTCTTCTCTGTCTAATATTAAAGAGTGAAGCACTCCTTCCAACCCACTTTCTTGTCCCACTTTTTTACTTCTCAAACTGCCCTCACACCCACCATATCTCATATGTGATTCCAATTCCAATATGTACGTGTGCTCTTATAAGTTAGAACAACTCATGTTCAACGATGGCATGGAGTCCAATTACAAGACATATTAAGTTTTGTGCAATACACATGCACACTTGCTGATGGGTACCTATGTCCTGGTTACCCTCATCGACCCCGTTCGACTCAGGGGTTTCATTTCGTCCAACTACTACCAGTCTCGTGTGCCGCAATTACGTGCTATGGCCGGTCTATTAATCAACAAAATGACACTGTATTAAAAATGATTGTTTCATTCATCAACTTAAAGCATTGTATGATGTAGTGCCCTTGGAACCAAGAAAAACTGAACTTTCCATTAACATTAACCTTAGAAACGCTGTGCTTCAACCATTTTTTAATAAACAAATACATGCGTTTTGCCAAAAAAAAAAAGGCATTATGCCATTAGTTTGCAGGAACCTAATAGCAGAAGATGGAATTAACACTGCATATGAGGTGCCATCAAACATAGAGGCGCAGCCAAGGCATCAGGGACAACTGCTCGAAAAGCGTCTCCTCCAGCTCTTCCTTGTCTGCGCCAACAACCCTGTCCTTAACTGTGCCCTCCCTCATGAAGAGGAATGTCGGCACGCCTTTAACACTCAACTGCTTAGCAATAATGCTCATTTCACCAACATCAACATCAACCTTGAGGAAAACCACATTTGGGTTCTTCTTGGCGAGATCAGCAAAAACTGGATCCATCCCGTGGGACGGTCTGCACCAGCTCGCAGTGAAGAAAACCACCAGCAGCTTGTCGGGGCAGACCTGGCTGCTCCACTCATCCAGGCTCTGGATGGCGATCACCGGCGCCTCGGCTGCCTTCGCAGCAGAGCGCTGCACTCTTGTGTTCAATTCCAGTACCCGATTGTTGGGGTTCAGAGATACTTGGCCTCTGATGTGGGCCTCTGCTGCCTCCACCTCTGAAGCTGCCAAAGTATCCTTGCAGTGAATAGTTGCACGGACCTGCACTAGACAAGTGAGATGCTGGATGCCAAATTCCAAAGATTCAAATTCGGGTATTTCTTCCCGGGCATCAAGGTCTAGGCAAAGCCTCCAGAGCTGTGGCATGGCTCCTTCTTCAAACTGCAGCCCTAATGCACCGTGATACGAAAACACCTTGAGGCAATGAAACCCATCCTTGCTACCCACGGCCAGCCCTGTGCTCGTACTTAGACGTAGGTTTAGGAGGACTAAGTTAGGCAAGTACCCAAGGGCGCGGACAGCTTCTGCTTCGACTGCTTCAACATGGATATGCAAGTGCGTGAGGGCTCTCAGCGAGGCAATATCTGGTGGGACCAGTGGGAGGCATTCGTGCATCCTCAGCTCAAATTTTCGCAGGTGATGTGGCCTATTGTTGGCCCAGCTTGAAGCAGCCAGTAAGTCAAGCAGCTGATGGTGGTAGTTGTCAAGAAAAAGGGACTGCAGGTTTGATTTCCCCACCTCCTCGAGGAAATGCTTCACTCCCTGCCGATCAGTTTCATTCTGACCAAGCAAATGGCTAAATCTTACCCCAAGCATCCTCAGCCGCCCCAACTTAGTAACAAGCCTTGCCACATCGCCAGCAAGCGAGCCATCCGGACCTAGAAGGACTTTCGATAATTCCTCCAATTCTTGCATTCCCCCCATTCCTCCCAGTGTTATCAATTCATCCGCAAGCAGAGACACCAGCTTCATGTCTCCAAATCTCGGTAGCCTTCTCACTCTGGTTTGCCTTAGATTTAAGGTAGTTAATTGTTTAAGTGCCATGATTTCTGGTGGCAACCTGGTGACATCGGTCCTGCTCAGTCCCAGGTACCTCAGCAGAGACAGACGTCCAAGGCTTTCCAATTGTTTGTTTTCCAAGCCCTTGGTATCTTCAAGATCCAGCACCCGCACGTGTTTGAAGGCCCAAAATGCAATGGATTGCACCCTATATAGGTGCAGAGAAATTGCTTCGTTGATGCCACCGCTTGAGTTTTCATCACTGCATGAAACCACCCAACTCTTCTGCTCTAGAAGACAACACGTGTCCGAGAATAAGGTATCACCTTCGTGTTCATAACCATAGTTGATGTCAAGGCTAACTTGCCGAAATAGTCTAGAATTCAACTCTGCACCCGGTGTAATGAAGTTTTCTTCATTTGACAAGGATGCCAAGAAATTGGCTACGTCACCATGAACAGTGCAGCCAGTTGGCTGATCATCGTTGTCGTCAAAGGCTGGTTGGATCAGCCTCCTATTGATAAGCTCAACAAAGTATCTCTCCCCTGTTTCCAACGAGCTCTTTCCTTGCCTTTCAGGGATTAGCCCTTCAGCTACCCATCTTCGTATCAGACGATCTTTCTTGATCATATAATTTCCTGAAAAAGCAGTCAAGTACAGGAAGCAAGACTTCACAGGAAGAGGTAGATCACCATAACTGATCTCCAGTATCTTTCTAATTGCTTGCGACGCGGAATAAAATTGATCTGATTCTGGTAAAATAGTTTCATTTGTGAACTTCTTGGCAGTATCAGCAAAAACCGGAGTCATCCCACGGGACATTGAGCACCAGGTCGCAGGGAAGTCTATCACTACCAGCTTGTCGGCGTCAACCTGGTTGTTCCACTCGTCTTGGCTGTGGATGGCGACCGTCGACCCTTCAGCTTCCTTCACAGCAGGATGCTGTTGCAGGCTTGAAAAAAATTCTATTTCATCTAATTTACTGACGACATCACTAATTCTAGGCCTTTTACGCCGGTCCTTGTCCATGCAGTTTATAGCTATCTCAATACAACACCTTACACTTTCGTAATCTGGTTGGACAAATGCATAGTTTGGCCTCAAGTTGTTGTATACCTACAAAATGGGAACAGTGAGTATAACCAAGTTTACTCAGTTACTGTTAAAAAATTTCGGATATATGCTACCAGAAGATATACCCCATCACAATACTAAATTGTAACACAACTAAATTAGCACAAATTCAATGTCGCACAACTTGAGAAGTGTTTTGGCCAACAGCAAGGACTGAAATAGTCAAGCATCTTAAAGTAGTAGCATAAGAGACATTTAGTTTTGGATGGAGGAACACATTGTGATCGTACATTTAATGAACTCAAAGGAAATGTTTCAAGATGACGTCTTGTTGAAAAGGGCATATATTGAGTTGCATACACTAACAAGTTCAATTCAAAAGATTAAGCTGATAGGGAAATATGGGCAATTCACTTATACTTCAACACTCCCCTCACGTGCAGCCTACCTTAGGTCTCAAACGTGGAAATTGGAGTCGACTATAATTATTTCATTTATTTGCTTCTGCTATGGTTCGAACTTGAGACATCTGGCTTTAATAACATATTGAGTCACATGCACTGACTTATTCAACCCAAAAGAATTTAAATTGATAGAAAAAGATGGGCAATTCACTTGTACTTCAATAGCATATACAACTCTTTTAAGTTAACATAGTAAGTAATTTAATTATTCTTACATAATCAAAATATCCTCGGGCGTCTGTATCGGCAATGCTCGAGTAGCCCTCAAATCCAACAATTATCTTCATAATTATAACACCCAAACTGAATATGTCATATTTTTTTGAGATTTTTCTCCCATCTATGAATTCTGGTGGGCAGTATCCGCTGCAAGAAAACATTAATTATACACATAAAGCAACGGTTAGAAGAAAAAAAAACAATTTGGTTTCTTAAAAAAATTATATTTACTCGAGACATTGATCTTACAGTGTCCCTAGTGGAGACATTGTTCTTATAGTGTTTTCTTCACCGAAAAGTCTTGATAAACCAAAATCTGCAATTTTAGGTACCATACCCTGATCTAGAAGTATATTATCTGGTTTTAGATCCAAATGCAAAATAGGAACTTCCAATCCCTCGTGAAGGTATTTTAAACCCTCGCATATTCCCTTAATTATTTTGTACCGTATGGACCAATTCATCCCAGTATATTCTTCTGCAAGAGCAAACATAGTACTTTCAAAATGTGAATTGTAAAGAATATCTTTTGTTGACATGCCAAAGAAAATATTCCTCAGGCACGAGAGAAAACGTACCAGAAAGAAGCTTGGTAAGACTTCCATTTGGCATATACTCGAGGCAGAGTGCCCTGTGTATCACTTCACAATGGACTTGTCTTCCACCGTACTGTGCAATTATTGGCTCTGATTCATCGCAAAAGCCCAGTAATCGCAAAATATTTTCGTGCCTCAGCCTCGCTAGGTGTCCAAATTCATTTTCGAAATGCTGACTGTCAATCTGTGGCATGAATTGGAAACTCTTCACAGCAATTTCTTCTCCATCTTCAAGCACTCCCTATACAACAGCTTATGGAGTTTAAATTTTCAGAGCAACAGTA